CAGCTATTTTTTCTAGCAACTTTTCATTTCATGAGAGATTCATAGAGTAGGGTACCGAATCTTTAACAAAAAAACTAAAAACTGAACGCGACTCTATTATAGATTAAAGATACTATGGTATCGGTCGTAGGTCGGCCTTAGCCGGGAATTCCCCATTTAATGTTGCGCTACGACAAAATGCACTATGACAGAACGTGGGTACTTATTTACTAAACCAAAGTAGAACGCACCACTCGTATTCTACCCAGTATTTTATTTATCCATATAAAACTAATGTTCCCTGTTTTAATGTAAAAATGGATTAACCCTTGAGAAAAAAAACATACGCACAGAAAAACAGATAGCTTGGTTAAAAGCAGCAAGTGAAGACTCAAGCAAAGCTTTTTGTACTTATTGTTCTACGGAAATTCTTCTTGAAACTATTTGACATAAAGAAACATACTGGGACAAAAAACTTAGACAGAAAGTAGAGTTCCAAACAGGTACGTGAATTTAAAACTCGTTTTGTTGAAAGCAGACTTTCTCGACGGGAAATTTTCCCGTCTGATAATTTTAGTTTACAAGTTTTTTTTAAAAATAAAGGTCTCAAACTCATTTTTATGCGTCTACGGTCAGTGTTGATATCCCTTCTTGTAATATAGTATCTTTTTTACCTAGGTACTGGAAGATTTAGCTACTTCTAGCAACTTTTTGGGGTAATAAAAACTGACAATCTAGCAACATTTTGTAAGATGTCTAGCAACTGGGCAATGCTAGTAGTTGGCAACACTGACTTGAAACCCGACACCTGTTTTTTCTAACGCGTGTTTGTTTACGCATCTGGCACGTGGATTGTGAGAGCTATAGTGTAAAATTAAATAGTGGGAGTATGGTATTTTATGATTTTATTTGGTAAGTTATACTAGAATGTGCAAATAACCAAAAAACCTGGACACGAAATTTTAAAATTTTGAAGATATACTCCATTTTACCCATCTGAACGCCTTTTTTTTATCTTTCCCGAGTTTACCGTAACGTGTGATGTTAAATTCTCCTCCACTGCCGTCTAATAATCTACCTCAGAGCGCAGGGGAAGCAATGAAAGAAAACCAAGAAATTAAAATAATGCTATAGTTATATTTTACCAACTATAGATTCTAAAGAGGATGAATACAGTAGTTTTAGTTGACATGAAATGTTACAACTATATTTCAATAACTAGAAATATCATAACAAAGCTGAATACAGTAGTTTTAAAGTAAGAGCTTATATAAATCACAAGTTAGCATGAATCTTAGAATTATATAAACGTCAGACATTCATAACAATTTACCATGTACCTACATGAGTTCTTAAACTATATCTAATATATTTTTCATCCCACCACCTCGGAAAGTGTAATTTTGCGCTTCGAAATCTGGCTGGAAAATTCTATTTTATTCGCTTGAGCGGCAAAGTAGATTTGAATTTAGAACATCACATATAATGAGTACTCAATATAATTGTAAATTCAAAACGTCATTAAACCTATTTAATGTAACCTCTATGGTGCCAAATTTATGATTAGAACTTTTTAAATTGTGAAAAAATTTAAATTTGGAACCTTCTTGGTTTCTTTGTTTTATTTGCGTGCTTCGCGCCATTCTAGTTTTTCACGTTTTATTGCTTAATATAATTAACATAACCTAAAAACTGTACAAAAAAATCAACTAAAATGAGTGACATTAGCGACGATGAAGTTTATCTAACGCCAACTGAGTTAACTGAAACAGTTAATAATGCGCAAATGAGCCTTCTCCCTCAGCAATCACGAGAGAAGTATTTGAAACAGTACGATATATTTAACATGTGGCGACTAGCTAAAGGAGCAAAAACTTTCTCCGAAAACGTTTTGCTGGCATATTTTATAGAATTATCTGAGACCAAGAAAGCAAGCACGCTATGGAGTACGTATTCAATGCTAAAATTAACAATTAAGATGAAGAAAGACGTTCATATCGACACCTATCATAAATTAGTGGCATTTTTAAAAAGAGCCTCATCTGGTTATAAACCAAAAAAATCGAAGGTTTTCACAGCATCTGAAATTGCAAAGTTTATTAATGAAGCACCTGATTCCGTATATTTAGCGGCAAAAGTAAGTCAATACGTGTAATTTTTTGTTGTTGATAAAATTGTACATAGTACTTACAATATTTTTAATTTGATTAATTTATTTACGATTATAAATACTTCTTTTGTTACAGGTTGTTCTTATTATTGGTATAACCGGAGCATGTCGAACAAATGAACTTACACTACTTAATGTCAATAACGTATCAAAATATTCTCATAATTCTGATGAATTGCTATTAATTAATGTACTAAATACCAAGACAAAAAAAGACCGCAACTTCGTTATTCGCAAGGAATATGTAAACATTGTTCAGAAATATCAAGCTTTACGTCCTTCTAACACCCCAATTGAACGATTTTTTCTACAATATCGCAACGGAAAGTGTATCCGACAACCTATGGGTCAGAATAAAATTGGCAGTATTCCACGAGAAATAGCAACTTTTCTCGGACTTTTAGAACCCCCGTTATACACCGGTCACTGTTTTAGAAGAACCTCAGCCACACTTTTGGCCGAATCAGGGGCTGATCTTCTATCGCTTAAGCGCCATGGAGGCTGGAAGTCTAATTCGGTTGTAGTGGGATACATAGAGGATTCAATCCAAAGTAAATCAAAAATTTGTAATAGTATCGTGGAGGCCATAACGCTGAAAGAACCTCTGTCAGATTCTTGGTCTCGCCCTTCTACATCTAAAATGAGCCCCCATAAGATTGGAAACAATAGCCCTCTCTCGCCAACATTTACGCCAATAGAATCCAATGAATCGGCACAACTATTTAAAATTACTGATACGAGTAGTTTACCACAAAACAGCGCACAATTCACAAACACCAACATAACATTACCTAACAAAAATATTAAACTTAACATAAGTAACTGTAGCAACGTTACATTTAATATTTCTTAATTATTTTCTACTTCTTATTATTTTCTTCAATTTATAGATTATCTTAATGTGTTTTAATTGAAATAAAAATATTTTGTCATTATAAATTGTTTTCTTTTTCATTTTGTCATTTCCTCGCTGAGGTGGGATGAAAAGTTACGTATTGCACTCGAGTGGAAAGATTTTTCACCTTGTGCTCGTTTGTTTCCCTCGCTGACGCTCAGGATTCTAATTTAGAATCACTCGCTGCGCTCGTGATTCAACTTTAGAATCCTTCGCTTGCTCGGTCATCCAAATCGAGCACGCGGTTAAAAAGGAACTTTCCACTCTTGTATAATAAATAACTATTACCCACTCTGCAATGGACTGTCCATTGAGAGACCACAAAGACTAGACTTAATAAGCTATTTAGTGGATTTCAGAGGTTCTACGGCTCGTTTGATCGATATTGGTGATAAACTTAGTTAATTATAGTTCTTAGTGAGACAACCAGTTATATAGATACATATATAGAAATGGGTAGGTCGGGGTCCCACCTCGCCTTGTGGTACCTGCGCCACGCTCACCCAGGATTAGTTAGACAAAATACCTTGTTTAGGATAGGTTTAGCAGTGTATGATCTGTCCGCAGTTACGGCCGGGTTACATGGGACCGGAGAGCGGTTTGCAACCTTTATTGTAATAATCTCACGCGTCCCCTCTGGTCCGTGTACAGAGAGAGAATTTTCTTGTTATTAGCTTGTTCTTCCTCCAGTATTTCTTGAGGAGAACGTATAAGCCGTTAGAAATATAAAACTATCCGTAAGTATTTTGTTTCCTATCACAAGTTACTGCCCCGCCTTGCGAGATTCCGGGACCGTCTACCTGTAAGACTTTATCAACCCGAATTACAGTTCGGTTAGCGTCTCCGCGCTATTTCCGCCAATATCCTTCAGGATATAAACTTTTCGGATCTACTTCACGACTCCGACGACGAATGTAGGGTCCTCCTTATAATATACTTTGGGCAGAAGACAAAATAAAATGTGAACTTTTCCGAAAACAGATTGTGAAATTTTAAAATGTTGTTTTGACAACTGAGCATAGAAAGAACTTTTTGTTTTATAAGTCTCAAGTCGAGTATTCGAGTCGAATAAAAAAAGCAATTATTCCCTCAATGCTACCAACGCAATCAATGAAGTTTGACAGCTACGCCGACGTAAGCGGTTCGTTATCATAGACAAAACAGCTGTCCTACGTGTGTCAGTTATTTAAGTGTCAGTGTCACGCCCTGTTTAAAAACAAACACTACAAACGTAATTAATAGATTATAGACATGACGCATTGTGTACACACTGTTTTATAGTAAATTTTATGGAGAATTGAAATATATATAGTTTGTGTAGGGTATTCTTACGAAATAACAGAGAAATCGGCAAAACAATGCAATCGTTCCCACCCAGCGGGGGGTTGACGGATGACGTAAGCAGTTGACGTAAGAACGGCACATGATGACATGACCATCATCCAACTGAGAGGTTACAAATGGATCCCTAAAAAAAACGACGGGTTGCATTTCGGGAGTGCCGGCAGAAGTGAAAACTTGAATAGTTAATATTCAAGTTGTGCATTTTTGATATTTTGGAATGGTTAGGGAATAATTTTGCACGAATTGCTTTAATTATCAGTATAAAAGTACTATCATGTATGTGGTAGAATACAATATTTATTTATTGCGCTATCGTACACAAACATGATAATTTATATAACTCTAGTACTATCAGTTTCCAAGCAAAACTGGAGACGAACAGGCAAACGGACATGACGAAACTATAAGGGTTCCTTGTCAGTACTACAGAACCCTAAAAATGTTGCAAAGACAAGCTTTACCAAAAGAATAATACAATATTTCAAATACTTTTTTATTTATTAAGCCATAATGACATAGAAATGTTTCAAATATAATAATAATATCTATCACATGTAACAATGAAAGTATTTTAAATAAAAAAACACATATTTTTTTCGCTGTAACAGCGATTTAATTGTTGTTTGTAATATGTATTTATTTATTTTCGATAATAAACCACTTGTGCCACTGCAAAATCAAATTTCCGAAGTGAATTAAACTTTTAATTATTATCATTATTAGATTAAATAGAACAAGTTTTTACTATACTGAAAAAATAAAAACAACAATGAAATATTAAAATAGCCCAATACTTCGAATTTAATGAAGTATTTGTCTATCAAATCATCTGGCTATTGTCGTAAATTTACAGTATTTTTTTTTTACAGTAGTACATCCTAGTTATTTAATAACCAGCGATATTCAAATCTGCCAGAAAACAGGTACAATGATGTATATATATTATTCGAAATGTAGTATAACAATATTATAAAATGTGTGTTCTGCTTCATCTCATGAAAGCCAACTTCTGTATTAAATAGATTTTTAACGTCAAAGACCGTTATTTGGACGGTTAAGCGAAGCATAGGTCTCAATTTATCAGAGAAAATGCATTTTAAAATGCAAACAAATAAAATAAAAACCTTACAAATTAAAGTATATTTCCAATCGCCCCGCGGGGATTGCCACCGGAGGCAAATGGGAATACAAAAACTGAAGTGGGGTATTGCCACTGGAGGCAAATGGGAATAAAGTCATTGGATTTCATTCCCATTTGTCTCCGGTGGCAATCCCGTGGGGGCAACTGGTAATAAACGCAAATTAACTTACTTCATACGATACTATACATACATTTAAAAACGACAGTTATAAGATTGCGTTTTTGTGACTTACATAGTTACCTTATTCTACATATTAAACTCGATAGAGATGTGCTGGGTACCTATTAATTTTCTGAGTCACAACTATAAGCAAATACTTCTTAATAGGCTAGTTGACTCATGTCAAATTGCACTATACAAATGTTTATTTCTTATAATTTTTGGTATGAGGAACCTAAATACATCGATTTCACTTCATAAAATTAGAAGATGGCTGTAGTAATTTAATTTGAAAAATAGTTATTTAGTCTATACTTTTTAAACACTAAAAACGCTGTCCACCATGATTGTGACGTCAACATAATAGCAAAACTACTAAACGTCATTGTCATGTTACTGTGTTTTCTTTCGTCTGACTAAAATATATCTAAAAACTCTTATATCTTGAAGAAAAGTTTCCGTTTATTGGTTTTCTTAACTAAATTAATGCTGGACGCCGGATTTGTGAAAGCAGAAACGACAAAACTCTTTGACTTAGCAGGTACATTCATAACCTTAAAAATTGAAACCACAACATTTCTGGAGTTTTTAACGATGTGTTTCTTTATTCTCGTATAATACAAACATGATAATTTCTATATTTATCATAAAATCTATTAGAAATCGTGGTTTTGTAATGTAAATTCAGATAGGTTATATCCTACGTGCTTGCGAGTGTTTGTTTACTATTGTTCCCCCCATACCATAGATAAACTATAGACTAATATGGCCGACAGCGTTTTTGTATGTCCATGAAAAATCTATTTTAAAATTAAAGTTTTGTAGCTTTCTAGGCAAAAAACGGATTCGGTCTAATTGAACAATTATTAACCATTTAAAACATATTTCCAAAAAGTGTCAACTAGCCTATTATTTCTGGAAACAATTCCTACCTAACAGTAGTAGATATCGTATTTTATTTTTCAGACTTATGATTTTTTATTGAACTACTGAGAGGATAATTAAGTTGTCGCTGAAAAAAGATCCTCTTTCTCATTTCCTTCGTATTTTCTTACAGAGATAAGTACACAACACACTTCCAATCAAGATACTTAGGTAAGTACCTATATAACTCATAAAAAATGCTCAGAAATAAGTTTAGACTTACACAAAACATTACAAAATTAAATGAGAATTTGATAGTTATATTGTAGTTACATTCAATATCACTTACATAAAAATATAATAATTAAAATCGGTACACGATTGTACTGTTTGACATAATACAACTTAAATAAGCCGAGTACTTAGGTTTGTACATAAAGTAGGTAAAGATGTAATTACAGATGTTTTGAATCTTGGATTGTTCACAAATTGAAATCCGAATTTTCACCATCAAGATAAAGTATTGTAAGAAATTAGATAAAAAGTGAAGCCTCCGTACCTACCACGAGCTTCGCTTTAAGATATGATAAAGCTTTTTATCGCCATTCACATATCAAACTGCATTGTAGTTTTACAGTTAATGTCGATAAAACGCTTTATTATATCGTGTTTTGATTGATGGTCATGCTAGAGAGGCTGGTTTTTATTACAAAAGAAAAGCAGGTGTTGAAAGTCAAAGTTGTACAGACGTGTTGAATGCATAGAGGTATAAGAATAGAGTGGGGAAGGCGGCTCTAAAAGTGTCCGTCTAGAAGAAAGAGAAAGAAGATGAGAGACCGCTAGCTATCTCTCTTTCTTGTGACGCATGGCATCCAAAGGCATCACATCGAAATAGTAAAATGCTTACGGTTGCCAATGCGCATGCGCGATTAGAGAGAGAAAGCTAGCGGTCTCTCATCTTCTTTCTCTTTCTATTAGAGGGACAATTCCACTTGTAGTAGAGTCTATAATCTCACCTACTCTATTCTTATACCTCTATGGTTGAAAGTCAAAGTTGTACAGACGTGTTGAATGTTGCATAGTTGACAGATTACTTCGGGATGGCGGCGAGCCCCTTGTTGAGCAGCCCGGCGGCTCCCTGATCGACGTCGTGCGCTGCTGAAGACAGGTTCGACAAAAGCTACAAGGAAACAAACGTTGTAATATGGCCATGTTTGTTGTTTTAAGGCTTCGTCAAACAGAACGCGTACTTAACGCTGCGTAGTAGCGTTATAGCGTTGCGTTTTAACGTCGCGCTCTTTTTATGTCACACAAATTGTCTAGATTAGGCTAACGCTCCTTAACGAAACGTACCATTCGCCAAAGCGTAGTGCAGATCGATAGCAGAGTCTGAAAAGTTTGTTCGTTATGAAGATGTCGAGTGATTCAGATGTGGAAGAATTGTTGCTTTTATATGCTTTATCACGGTCACAGAGAAAAAGAGTATGAGTGCACGACATCAATAAAAATACAAATTATCCTTCGTATTATATAAGCATGGGTATTTTCTAGCTAATTCTATAAAATTTTCGGACAATATGCAGTATTTTAACACTTATTCTTAGTTTGACTAGATACGTACCGTGTCTCTCTTGTCGCTGATGTATTTATCTGCATCCTTGACTTTAGTATCGACCACGTGTCCAGCGTTCTTTAAGCCCTCGCTGGTGGCGTGATCCACTCGTTTCAATGTGTTATCCACGGTGCTGTTCACAGCGTTGGCCGCATCCGCTGCAGCCTTCTCTGCTGCCTTCTTGGACTCCTCCACCGCTGCGGCTGGAACGGAAAATCGTGAAGTTGTGACTTAACCTCAATGTGCTCAGATTAAGATATAATATTATATTACAGCACATAGCTAGCACGACAATATCGCTAATACACAGCCAGGTCATAAGTATTGTCACACAGTAAAAACTTTTCTTTTAGAATGCTGGCCACAAAAAAGTTTATTGAATTCGAATTTCGAATTGTTCATGAAAATAAAAATGTATACTTTTTAGAATTTTATTCATTTTTAAATATGGAGTGGACGCTTAAAGAAGACCGTGTTGCAGTTATTGCGTTGCATCGTTGCGGTTGTCAAATTGTTGACATACACATATATAGACACGACATTTGTTGGCCTTTCAGATGGGGTTAAGCATAACCACGGTGAAAAGGGTGTAAAATGAAGACTTAGGGTTATCGAAGAAAAACAGGACATCGTTTGAATGCTCGTCTAATGGACCTGAGACTGAAGAGATGCCGCGTTTTGTTGAAGTGGTACGCAGGAAAAAAATATCGGGAAATTCTTTTTTCGGATGAAAAAAATTTTACCGTAGAAGAGAGCTACAACAAACAAAATGATAAGGTGTACGCACACAATAGTGAAGAAGCGAGCAACCGTATTCCACGTGTCCAACGAGGTCATTTTCCATCCTCATGGTATGGTTGGGAGTTTCTTATTGGGGCTTAACAGGGGTACATCTTTGTGAGAAAGGTGTAAAAACGAATGCAGTTGTGTATCAAAATACAGTCCTGACGAACCTTGTGGAACCTGTTTTTCATAACATGTTCAATAACAGGCACTGGGTATTCCAACAAGAATCGGCGCCAATCGACTTCATCCACCACGAAGACTGGCCCTCCTCCAGTCCAGATTTGAGTCCGTTAGATTAAAAGATATGGCAACACTTGGAGGAAAAGGCGTGCTCAAAGCCTCATCCCAATTTGGAGTCACTCAAGACATCCTTGATTAAGGCAGCCGCCGACATATTGACATGGACCTCGTTCGTGCTGCGATAGACGACTGGCCGCGCAGATTGAAGGCCTGTTTTCAAAATCACGGAGGTCATTTTGAATAAACTTTATTGTCATAAGAATCTATGTTTTGTTAAGTTTATTTGGTATATAAATGGTTACATAATGAATAAACTTGTTTCAATTATTTTATATCAAACATGTGACAGAATTTATGACCTGACTAGGTTTAGATGTAAACAATTTTTTTTTTGCAATAGGCTTTTATGAGGAATTAAAGCTTATTAACAGGGTCTGATGATGAAGTTAAAAAGGTGGGTTATATAGTTACATTATATCTTTCATTTTTTTAATAAAAGCGCGCTACAGCCTTTTTATTTCTCTTGCAGACTAAATGTAACACGCTTTTATTTAAAACATGGGATATGCTGTACCTGTAAAATGGTATATTTCTTTTCCGACTCAAATTATTTTTAACTTAACTATTTAGTTCTTTTTATTAACAAGCAATAAAAGCATGATTTGAAAAAAAAAAAAATTTAACTTTTTAGTCTTGATGATTCGGAATTTACTACATTTTGCCTTCCCTTAATGTCGTTAGCTTTATATGCGTCTTTTTAATCATGTTGTTCCCACAAATATTGACATTATTTATGGTCCATCGATATCAATCGATTTCCGGATCGATATTGATATTATCCAGGACCAAAATACTCGTCAAGACTAATCAAACGAGCCTCAACTCGATGCGGTTACGTCGTTTAATTTCGAAAATCTTATGGCCACCTTCTAGCTTCATCATAAGACCCTGTTTTCCATATAGGAAGAATAGAGTAGGAATTTTGTTTCTAAATTCATATGGGACCAACTTCGGAATATACTCACACTACACGCTATACGTATACAGCCTTGCCATGCCATGCCAGCCTATACTAATGAGCGCAACGCATCTGAACCCCAGTTTTCAAAGAGGCTGTCTATTAATCACGTGATGTTTTTTGGCATTTCTTAACCCGTGATACGTGGTGAGGTTTAAGACTATCCCCCCCCCCCCCCCCCCCCCGCCCCACTGCCCCTATATCACGTGTATTTTTTTACCTACAATATTATTTTTTTTTATATTTATAAAATACAGGTATAAGTATCAGATAATTTTATTATAGAAAATGAAAGACTACCAAAAATAACTAACTTAGTTATTACGAAAGGGTACGGGATGTTTTTGACTGACTTAAAAATAATGAAAGAAATGCGAAAAAAATTTGTACTAATACATGAACATTATTGAATGTACAGTATCCTAAGACCACGGAAATACACGTGATATATTACTAACCCCCCCCCCCCCCCCCCGTGATATTTCGGAATTTTTTATGGACCCCTCCCCTTTCGAGCCTCACGTTATTAATGGACATCCCCTTATGTAGAAAGGTTCGCAAACAAGCGTATAACAAGCGCGTTGCCTCCAAAATAGATAGGTAGGGCATGAATCTCGGAATATTATCATCAATTTCAGGTTCAATCAATATACTCGTAAATAACTACCCATTATTTTCACCTTTAGTAATACTAGCCTTAAATTATCCACCAAAGGTCATCCACATGGTACTCATGAGTCGTCATCGCTATTAAGAGCATAATGTCAAATGTAGTTAAAGATTGGAACATACTTGGGTATGGAGGATGTAGCGATGGCGCAGATGGTTAGCGCGTTCGGTTGCGATCGTTGAAGTTAAACAACTTTCGCAGTGGTCGGTCATTGGATGGGTGACCACAAATCTTCTATCTCGAGTTCCTCCGTGCTTCGGAAGGCGCGTTAAGCCTATGGTCCCGACTGCATCTGCAGTCGTTAGCTCCCACCAATCCACACTGGGCCCGCGTGGTGGGTCATGGCTAGTGTTGCCAGGTGTCCCGATTTTCAGGGGTCTGGGGACGCGTCCCGATTTATACCTGATCGGGAAGCTAAATGCCCCGATTAATTAAAAAAAAATTAGGTAATTAATATAATACTATACTTGCACTAGTTTAAAACGCAATAAATTAAACCCAGACTCCAAAACCCTTTGTTTTTTGTTTACTGTCCCGATCTGCAACCCTAAATCCCGATTTTTTTTACCTCTTGTACCGATTTAAAACAAATCGGACCTGGCAACACTAGTCATGTCCCAATCTCCCTATTCCATCCATAGGGAAGGCCTGTGCTCCAGCAGTGGGGACATTAATAGGCTGATTGATGATAATGATGATATACTAGGGATCAAATTTCGATTTACCTGCAACCCTTCTGGCCTCTTCTTTGGCGGCCTCAGCAGCCTTAAGTGCCTGGGCCTTCGCGTCTGCAGCCGCTTTCTTTGTGCTATCCACCGTAGTATTAATGGTTTCTGCGAAAAATTTGTTTGATATTATTAACTATTTAATACACAAAACTCGAGGTATTTATATGTTTCACACGATGGTAAAGACTTAATGCTTGGAAAGACTGCAAACGGTTGTTGATTAGATAATTAGATTTGCAGCAACCTTTTGGGTATAGTTCGAAGGTTATGTAGTTTTTATAGACAAAACAAAACAATTTACTCTTTGTGGAGTAAGGTGAAAAAAAACAACGTAAGTAATTGAAATAACGTCAAACAACTTTTTAATGAAAATGTAAATTTAAATACAAATCAAAATTTCATAATATTATCTAACTCATGCATTTAATTACTACACCCGTTAAAGTAACGATAGTAATTAAAGAGAAATGAAAAAAAAAAACATCTGCCATAGACATTTTTTCCAAAATCAATAAAAACACACACAAACACACATTTTCATGTCGAATGAAGCAGGCAGACAGAATTTTATAATAAAAATAATATAACAAAGGACTTTAATAAAAGTTATAAATTAGTTATAATTTATATTTTTTAAGCATGTAACTGCTTGATGTTTAAATCTAAAAAAATATAACTAGAAAAAATTCCACGCGTACCAGGCAGCAGACGGGACTCGAACCTGCACCCTTCGCTATCCGGGCGAATGCACTGACTAATTATGCTACCGCGGCCCTGATGGTCGAAGAGATGCGAAGAGATGGCGCTGCCTTGCAACTTAAGAATAGTTAGAGGAATTTCGATGCGGCCATCAGGGCCGCGGTAGCATAATTGGTCAGTGCATTCGCCCGGATAGCGAAGGGTGCGGGTTCGAGTCCCGTCTGCTGCCTGTTCCGCATGGAATTTTTTCTAGTTATATTTTCTTTAGTTATAAAGTAATTAAATTAAACGCTTTGAAGTAGGAAGTTACACACATTGAAATATAGATAAAACCTATTTATTATTTGTAAGTAAGTCTTGATTATTATTTTAAATGCATTCCCACACGACATATTACAAATACCATTCGCATCCTCTGAGGCTTTTTTCGAACCATTTAAAACGACTTGACTCCAATTTTTGGCTGTATCGAATTTGGTTCCAATTTGATCTAAAAAGAATACGAGCATTTGTACTACATTCATGGATGTTTAATATGTATTTCTATATAAATATAGTTATATCTATATCAGTATATGTATTCTATCCGTTGCCATAGTATCCCATAACACAAGCCTACAGTGCTTACTTTGGGACTAGGCTAATTGGTGTATGTTGGAAATATTAAAAAAATATATTTATATCCCAAACGATTCCTTTTGTAACTGAATGTATGGTTATGAAGTCTTGGAATGGTCGCAAGCGCAACGAAGTCGCCCAAACCGTGAAGGTGTTTTATTAATGAAATATATTGGCCTTAATTAGTTAGGCGCCGGCCAATTTGTTGACTTCTTGTTGTTAAATGCACACAATGCAGATTTAAATTAAAGAAAATAAAGCTAAGAATATAAATATAAAAAATACCTTCTACTTTCCCTTCACCATCCTCCAGATAGTCTGTAGTGCTTTGAAATGTGCTTGTTACTGAATCTACGAAGAAAGTTAGTGTACACGATTAAGAAAAGGAAAAAGAAGAATGTTGCAAGCAAAGAAAAGCTAAAGATTTGTTATTTGGTTTAATTAAAGATGCTATATTGTGCCTACTGTTTCAACGCAAGTCAGGACTTTACGATTAATCGCCTATAACTGTAACTTGCTCCAATGACTTTGCAATGTTATTTGAAGATTTGCTATCCCATGACGGATGAGGCATAAAGCTAGGTAATAAAGCCACAAGTACACACTTGTAAGCTATCAATCCAAAAACCCTCCATAGTCCAAAATAATGGAAGGAACTTTCAAATAAGATATTATTGCAGGAACCTATTATAGTATTTCATTAAACCAATGAGGTTTTAAGCTTACATTAAAACAAAAAGGGAAGATACGGTACGCTCATACTAGCATCAAAATACTCCGACTCAACTACATAAGCATCTCTCATGCACGCACACTTCTGTAAATAAACATTCAATCGAGCTAGCGAGAATAGTATATTTCATTACGAGTGCAAAGAGTTCCGACAAATGTCTACTCGAGCCGAGACGCAGCCGAAGGTGAGGGTTGACAGTCGGAACAAGTTGCAATCACGGTTCCGCACGTGTATTGAACAACTATTTTTAATACAATTGACAAAAACAATAAGTAATTTAATAAAGAAAATTTTTGGAAAATGGCACCAACCGTAAAAGAATGGAAGATGGCTGAGATTTTTTTGTTTTCTTCACCCATTCTGGGTAGGCAAAGGGAACTATGCCCACACAGCCAAATCTTCAGGAGATTGTTTTTATTGATATGGAATGAAATTTAATGAGATGAAATGACATGAAACCTAACGTAACTCGTTAAATCTGATATTGAAACAAATTAGCAGCTCCTTTTAAAAAATATTTGCAGGAATCATAAAAACTTCTATGATTGGTCTTGTGGAAATCTTCGTGGTTGGTCTTTCTTTTAAATAGACATTATTTTGACAGTTGGGAAAGAGAACGCACGAGTTCGGAGAAAGTAAAGAAAAAGCTCGTAATGTAAAAGCCCACATCCCAAACGCTATACGTCCCTGTAATACGCCACTTTTTGAGCAACTGTATTAAAAAGAACTTTACGCTTCAACGCTGCGCGAACGAAACGGCGCCGCGGCGCGGCGAGTCCGCGTCGCTTGGCTAGGCGACTGCGTTTTCTTTTCTCTCTCTACACACGGCTGAGCTGTATTGTTGTCCTTCTCTTGATAACAAATGGCGTAAAAGTAAATAACATTCATGGCAAACTATGATATTTCAGAAAAGAAAAGTTTTCATAGTTTTTCGAATGAAAAGTATTGCCGAGGCATTTGTTATTTGATTTTTAACTATTTGTGTTTTTTTATAAAAGCATCGAAGTCATTGTTTTATCTTTATAACACAGAATGTAGGCAATATTGTTATATTGGGTGCACGTCCAGCGTGTTTGAATGTCCAATTGAGACTAAAGCAAATTGTGGTCATGCACCACAATTTAAGCGGATCACTTTTGAGCCGGAGTGCCGTTTCTTCCCTTTTTGTTTTAACCTAAGGTTTTAAGCGAATCATCAGTGATAATACTTTTAATACTTACAACAGTTGCAAGGTGCAGTTTATATGAGTTATTTCTATATTTGATTGCGTAATACCGCCCGCAAGATACAGTCTACTTTAAAACCTAAGCTAGGGTTAGCCTCATAATTATAGTTGAGCACTCATAATTAATATTTTCCGCATCCCCAAAGGAATGGGGTCTTCAGTATTTATTATATATATTATTCGAAAATATTTCGAATAATTCCTTTGATTAAAAACTTACTTTGCCATTTTTAAACAAAAATTTATATTCGAAGACTTATCGAATATATATTTTATACCATTTAGTCAATTATTAATAACATTTGAATTAATCATTTGCAGGAGCAGATACTAGGAGGCCTACTCTATTTCAACGAAAAACTAAATTTCGATCGAAATTTCGCTTTTAATCAAGGCTGCTTAGCTGAGGAAAATTTTTTAGCATGTCAAATTAACAAATACACCATTTTTTTATTAATTATTGTATTTCCAATACTTCAAAGTACTAAATGACAAATTTAGGTTGACATAAAATATAGTGCAATAACTCTACAAATTATTCGGCTAACACTGTCAAAGAAAGTACTTTTAAAGTCATATAAATGAAACAGGTAATCTAAAAAGCAGAGCTAAAAAGAACTCACAAACATGACTCATTCCATTAATTCACGAAAATTGTTTGTGATGTGCGTGTTCGACAATGAAAAAGAGAAGAGTCATTGGCGACATTTCGTTTAAAATTCGTTCTTTATCGAAATTTCGTTTCGGAGAAAGAGAGTAGAGCTCCAGACTACTCTATTTCAACGAAAACCTAAATTTCGATCGAATGTTTTCGCGAGATTCTGTTTCTTATTCATTTCGAAAATTCGTTCGTCCGAAATTTTACAATTAATTTCCCAAAGCCTTCTTTAATTCACAAAAAATTCAAACGTAAAGTTGAAATGGCAGATAATTGTTCGAAATTTTAACCTCAAATTGAAGAAATGAAAAGTGTTATTTATTTTTTTTTTATTTAAATTAATAGAGTATTTTAAATTAAAGCTGCTTAGCGTGAGGATAATTTTTTTAACATGTCATGGCAAATTAACAAATAAGTAGGTACACATTTTTTTTTATCAATTATTGTATTTCCAATACTTTAAAGTATTAAACGACAAATTAACTAAATGGATTGCATCAACTGTACAAATTAGTTGGCTAACATTGTCAAGGAAGGTTATTTTAATGTCATCAAAAATTTTGTCGTAAAGTAATATTATTTCCAAGGAAAACAAGTACCAATCTAAAAAGTGGGAGGCAAAAAGAACTCACAAACATGACTCATTTCATTCGTTCACGAAAATTGTTTGTGATTCCGAACTTTATGTGCGTGTTCGAAAATGAAATAAAGTAGTCACTGGCGAAATTTCGTTTAAAATTCGTTCGTTACCGAAATTTCGTTTTGGAGAAAGAGAGTAGAGCTCCAGATAACATCAATTTTGCTTGCAAATATTTCAATGGAATGGAATGAATGAATCATTGACAAGACAAACAAATAATTACCCAACAAAAACATACAAAACTACAATATTAATTGAGAATACCTTTGGCATTTCCTACAAGTGTTGTGCCTTTGTCTAAGGCTGATGATGCTACATTTTTAGTATTGTCTGCTGTAGTTGATACAGTATTTGATACGGTATCTACAATAACCAAATATAAAGTCAATGATAAAAGAGGGAGAAAATAAAGGCAAACTATAAATATTGACTTAGTAATACCTTTAACATTTCCAACAAAAGCAGTGCCTTTCTCTACAGCGGATGCTGCAACATTTTTAGTAGTGTCTGCTGTGGCTGATACAGTATTTGCTACGGTATCTACAATAAATTAAATTAAATTAAAGGAAAATAATAACAAAAGTAATGGAAATGATAGAAAGTTTAATGCGATAATACCTTTAGCTGATCCTACGAAAGTTGTACCTTTGCCTACAGCAGATGAAGCAAGGTTCTTAGTCGTGTCTACCGTCGCAGAAATAGTGTTTACTACTGAATCTACAATATATTGAACAAAATAAATATTAAAAAAAATATATAAATTAAAAAGCATATAAACACTCGTGTTCTTTATTGACTTTACCTTTAGCATTGCCTACAAGATTAGTGCCTTTGTCAACAGCAGAAGCAGCTACGTTTTTAGTTGTATCTACTGTGGCCGACACAGTGTTTGCTACAGAATCTACAATAAATACACTTAATGTAAAAATGAATTAACAAAAAATGAAATTGAATGATGAGAATTTGGCAAACCAACTTCGTTTACTTTCGTAAAGGTAGTTTACCTTTTGCACTTCCTACGAAGTTGGTACCTTTCTCAACATTAGATGAAACTACATTTTTGGTCGTATCTACAGTGGCTGGTACTGTGTTTGCAACCGTATCTATAATTAATTATTTAGATGTAAAAAAAAATAACACATAAAATTAAATGTTAAGAATTTGGTATGATACCTACCTTTAGCTGTTCCTACAAGGGTGGCACCTTTATCATAAGCAGACGAAGCTACGTTTTTGGTTGAATCTACTGTGGCTGATACTGTGTTTGCAACTGTGTCTACAATTAATTTATATGGTGTCAACATAAATTAAAAAAAACTTATGAAACATTGAATGATAACAATTTGGTATTTAATAAGTACCTTTAGCACTCCCTACGAAGGTGGTACCTTTCTCAACAGCAGATGAAGCAACGTTTTTGGTTGTGTCAACTGTAGCTGATACTGTGTTAGCTACCGTGTCTACAATAAATTAATATGTTAAACATAAAGAAACCAAAAAAACATAACTCATGAAATTAAATGATAATAATTTGGCTAAATAACTACCTGTAGCTGTTCCTACAAAAGTGGCACCTTTCTCATAAGTAGATGTAGCTACGTTTTTAGTTGTATCCACAGTGGCTGATACTGTGTTTGCTACCGTATCTACAATTAATGGATGAAACGTAAATAAAAATAACATAACTAAAAAAATAATATTATTATGACTAAGTACATAAGTGTTAACTACCTTTAGCTGTTTCTAGAAATGTTGCACCTTTCTCATAGGCAGATGAAGCAACGTTTTTAGTTGTATCTACTGTGGCTGATACTGTATCCGCTACCGTGTCTACAATGAATTTATACGATGTCAACATAAATTAACAGAAAAAAATCGGACATGTGCTGTTCACATACGATAGAAGTGAAACCTACAAAAATGTGAACCAAAGATATTTAATATCATTCATGCGAACACGTAAAAGTCCTTCATGACCAGGATTCATCAAAATTAAATATTTTATACTTAAATTTTTTACTTCAATTATAGAAAAAAAATCAATTAAAAAAATAACCTAGCGCTCAGGATCGAACCACCGATCATTTGGTGTCGACCCCAAAACCGTTACTGTTCGGCTATCTGTCTCTTATAGTAAATGATAAAATTAAGGATACCTATCTTGTGTCAAATACAATACTTCTCTTTCAACGAATCTCAAATCACAACGGTGCTAATAGTCCAGTCAAATTACGGAATCAAATAAACATGAGCGAACACAGTTTGGGGATTTTGAGGATCGTTAGGGGGGTGCATCCTGAGCTTAAGTTCCAATTTGAGGGGCTGTACTGAGGTCAGCTCAAGGTCATTTCGATGCAAACGCGTTTAATTCGATATCTCAAGAAATATCAGTGTTAGCCAAAAAATTATAGAGACCTTTTTTCTTCTAAATGAAATTTATTAACTTTTTTAATTAAAACTTTTTTTTGTAACATCAATATTTTTTAAGTTATTACTTCCGCAAGGCAAAAATTTCATTTTTTTCCCCTATTTTTCGTCGTTTTCTCCCCAAACATTCAATTTTATTGAATTTTACCGATCATCAACGTGTATATCTTTTAATTATGCACAATTTTGTTCTTAAACTTTTTTCTGTAACTTCAATACCTTCGAAGTTATATATTATTTTACCGAGCGAAATCCACGCCACTGTCGCAATATAAAAGGGTAAATCGATTAAACTATTTAAAAATTGGGTATTTAATTTGGGTAAATTTATGGGTTTGTTTGGGTAACAAGTAAATTAACAATTAAAACTGTTTCACACATTTATTGATACAAAAAATTGGTTATAAAATTCGGAAAATTAAGCACCCGAGGTCGATGGAAGTGATGATGATGATGATGATGATGATGATGATTGATTGATGATCGGTAAAATTCAATAAAATTGAATGTTTGGGGAGAAAACGACGAAAAATAGGGAAAAAATGAAATTTTTGCCTTGCGGGAGTAATAACTTAAAAAATATTGATGTTACAAAAAAAGTTTTAAATAAAAAAGTTAATAAATTTTATTTAGAAGAAAAAAGGTCTCTATAATTTTTTGGTAACACTGATATTTCTCGAGATATCGAATTAAACGCGTTTGCATCGAAATGACCTTGAGCTGAACTCAGTACAGCCCCTCAAATTGGAACTTAAGCTCAGGATGCACCCCCCTATCGATCCTCAAAATCCCCAAACTGTGCTCGCTCATGTTTTTTTAGCCCTTTTTTTTCCGTAATTTGACTGGACTATAAAGAAGTTTTTACTTCAAACTTATGAAATATTGAATGATAAGAAATTGGTATTCGATAAGTACCTTTAGCACTCCCTACGAAGGTGGTACCTTTCTCAACAGCAGACGAAGCAACGTTTTTGGTTGTATCAACTGTAGCTAATACTGTGTTAGCTACCGTGTCTACAATCAATTAATATGTTAAACATAACGAAACAAAAAAAACATAACTCATGGAATTAAATGATTATAATTTGGCTTAATAACTACCTGTAGCTGTTCCTACAAGAGTGGCACCTTTCTCATAAGTAGATGTAGCAACGTTTTTAGTTGTATCTACAGTGGCTGATACTGTGTTTGCTACCGTATCTAAAATTAATGGATAAAAAGTAAATAAAAATAACATAAGTAAAAAAAAATATTATTATTATGACTACATAAGTGTTAACTACCTTTAGCTGATTCTAGAAACGTTGCACCTTTCTCATAGGCGGATGAAGCTACGTTTTTAGTTGTATCTACAGTGGCTGATACTGTGTTTGCTACCGTATCTACAATTAATGGATGAAACGTAAATAAAAATAACATAACTAAAAATAATATTATGACTACATAAGTGTTAACTACCTTTAGCTGTTTCTAGAAATGTTGCACCTTTCTCATAGGCAGATGAAGCTACGTTTTTAGTTGTATCTACTGTGGCTGATACTGTGTTCGCTACCGTGTCTACAAAGAAATAATAGCTTAAAAAAAGTTAAATAAACAAATAATAAAACGAATGATTCAAACATCGATCTACCTTTAGCTGTTCCTACGAGGTTGGTACCTTTCTCAACAGCGGATGCAGCTACGTTTTTGGTTGTATCTACTGTAGCAGTTACAGTATTTGATACTGCGTCTAAAATATAATTAAATAAATAATCTGTTTGTGTTTCATTGAATATTCAGTTAAACCGGTGTTTAAAAACAACTATCTATCTTAAGAAACTTATAGTATTAGTTGAGACGTTGCCCGTCTCAACTAGTATTCTATAATGTCTTTTTGCGGTGTGCTGTGGTATTTATGCTTGTAAAGTTCGGAGTTAGTAGTTCTTTTAGGGTGTCAAGCCAGTGCGAGCTGATAGCAGAGTACCATACCTATCAATTTAACCCCGATGTATGTTCTACGATTTTTCGTAGTTTCCGAGTTAGATTTTTTTTTGTAATTTTTTTACAATTCAACGATGAGTCAACTTGTAAAAAGTATATTTTTTTGGGTCGACTTTTCTTCGATATTTTTTAACAGAATGCCTATTCTTTGTAGTTTTATAAGTTAAATAATCTCCTTTCTAACTTTAACCTAAGATATAAAAATTTTGATCGATACTAAATAAAAATGGATTAAGTATAACAGAATGGATTTTCAATAATAAAATAGTAATGGTATCAATTCTGACATGATTCTCTAAACCTAAACTTAAATTTGACAACAGTGTATCCTTGTTATTCTCTATACAGCATGAAAAGGAGAGACTGATGTTAAATTTAGATTTAAGTTTAGAGAATCACGCCAGAATTGGCACCAATAATAGATGTTCCATAACTTCTGACTAATTTTAAAAACTGCCCGACTTCATAAGCTTTCATAAAAATACAAAAAAAGATATACTAAATAGGGCATTATTTGCTGAAATTTATCGTTGAAGGTGTTGTATCGGAAAGCGTGTAATTTTAATATTTTATAATTTCGTAGTATCATCTTTGCATATTTTGTCAATCTTAAGTTTTATTATTCATTTTAGTTTAAGTGGAGCTCATAAGAAAATACAAATAATCATTTTATAACAACTAATCACTCAAAACTCCTGTTATCCTCCTCCTTAAATAAGGAAGTGTCTACGCTGTTGAGGACTCTCGATTGAGCTTCATATTAAGGTTGTTTGTGAGTGATATCATGCCTCGAGATTACGAATTTTCATCGCAAGATTATGCGCAAATGCATTGTACACGCGTGGAAAAGCTTCACTTGCCGCAAGGATGTTTCGCGAATATTTACAACGTTGAATCGTAAAAAATTACGAAAAAAAAAATGTAACTCGAAAACTACGAAAAATCGTAGAGTAGGTACGGTACTCTGCTATCAGCTCGCACTGGCTTGACATCCTAAAAGAAACACCCTGTATAGACCTATAGCATGATTCGTGAGAAATACCTATAATATTTAATAACAATATAATGATACAAAGAAAAAATATTACGATTTCATGTACTTCTAACAGATGACAACATTACTAAAGTGGTCTTTCTAAAAATGGGTATGATAGTGTTTATACATCCCCTATCCAATGGTATGAATATCAAATCATAAATGACATGTAAGTTATGTCAAAAAATGTAAGAAAATATTAATATTAAATATTAATATAAATAATAAAAAGAAATCAAAACAAAAGAAAGGGTCAGTAAATATACCTTTGGCATTGCTAGCGTATGTTTTTCCAGTATCTACAGTTGAGCTTACTACATTTTTTGTTGTATCAATAGCGGATTGAACTGTACTTTGTACCGTATCTACAAGAATATAGAAAATATAAAATAAAACTGATACATGAAACAAATAAAAGCAAAAAAAAACACATTTTAATAATTACCTACCTTTAGCAGAATTGACGTATGTTTTGCCTACTTCAACTGAGTGCTCGGCCGCTTTTTTTGTACTATCTACAGTGCTTGCAATTGCATCTACGAGTGAAATAACAGTACTAATTAAAACAAAGAAATACTAATTAAAACAAAAGAACAAAAACTCAAATAAAAATATTATAAATAAATAAAAGCTTCCAAAAACTGTGAATGGGGCTAAAATATTAAGATCACATCAAAAAATCAATCAGAAAACATATAAAACAAAGCCTCATCTGTTAGTGTTTCAAGGATTTTTCTTTTTATATCTTTATTCAAATCGTAAAAAGCTTCTTAAAATTTTTAAGAAAAGCATTGTAATGCCTAATATTAGCTAGCTATCAAAATAGGATTTGCCTACATCGTACGCAGCGGTCAGCGACGCGTCATATGCTGTTTACAAATGAGCTTTGGGCAGTATCTAAAGCTTTTGTAAATAATAGCTGAGAACACGAACACAACAAATTAATCACGAACATATAGGTGCATTGGCAAAATTAAGAGCGTCAGTACCTGTCGCTCCGTCATAATAAGCATTGGTTGTATCAACAGCGGACCTAGCAGCATTTTGTGTGCCCTCTACAGTCTTATTTACCGTATTAGCAACTGTGTCTAAAAAAACAACACGTTAGTTATTTTTTAATATATTCGTTTAAAACCTATTAAAATTATCATATAATAAGTATAAGACTGTCAGTCATTCTTAAAAATTTGAAACATTTTGTATTTAATTTACCTCTCGCAGATGTGGTGTATGATTTGCCAGTCTCAGCTGTAGATTTTGCAAGCTTTTGTGTTGTATCTACAGTGCTTTGAACAGTATTGGCAACTTTATCTAAAAATCGAGACATTATCTTTAAACTATCCTGACACAAGTTAATAAATCTTTATGAATAGCAAGTACCTTTAGCACCGACTGCATATGTTTTTCCAGTATCTAGGGCAGATTGTGCTGTCTTTTGGGTGGTGTCTATCGTGCTTGCTAGTGTATCTAATCATGTGTGACAAAAGAATATGAAAATAACAAACTCAAAGTTTTCAATGATAGAACAAACAAGTTTCTTGGCACGTCACAGTTTGGCAAATTTTAGTAAACACTAAACTACGTCTCATTAATGACTCGGCATAAATTTTCCACGTCCAGATTTTCTATAAATCTACAAAGCTATTCCCAATGTCCTAAAATAATGAGTGTTAATTTCTGTTTACGTTGTTAAAAGATGACTTATACCTATTCCTGCCTTTTTACGGTTACTTCATAAGATTTATTAAATTTCTCGGTCCTAAAATGAGTTGTACTAGTACGAGTGGCACAGCATTGATTTGGATTTTAACAAAATGCATTCATCTCTGTTTTAATTAATATATAATAAATTAATAAAAAAGTTAAAACGTGCAATTCATTCTTAATTTTAAAACGTGCAAGCTTAAAAGTACTTGAAAGTAAAAGTGCAATAAGTCTTTTTTTTAATGTTTATATTAAAATGTAGATAGTTTAATTGTTTCTTACCTTTGGCTGCGTTAGCTGCGGATTCAGCGGCTTTCTTTGTGTTATCTACCGTGGTCGCGATTGTATCTAAATATAATAGAATAAGCGAAATAAAAATAAAAAGTGATAACAAACAATTACGACGTCTACTAAACTTAATTTATATAAACACATTCTAATCGATGCAAACTATAAAGTAAAGACTAACTACTACAAATCTTTATTTCATTTAGGAACTTTTACACAGGATGCGTGTAAAAGTTCCTAAATTCTACTCTACTTTAAATAAAGTTGATGGCTTACTATTCTCATCTCCATTGGCTTTAATTCAAAGAGAAAAATAATTAATTCTGGGCCCATGATAGTCATTCATACCTTTTGTCGTATCAACGGCTTTCTTGCCGTCGGCGACCGCCTTGCTTGCTGCATCCTTTGCTTCTCCAGCTGCTAAGGACACCTTGGACAGTTCTTTGTCTAATCCATCGATGGCAGATTGTCTCGCACTTGCGGCTGCAGAAAATTTGTAAGCATTTTAAAGAATTATTAATTTTATATTTGGACTACATAGCTACCTACTCTTTGATCTATGAATGATCTTATATCTTGATATCACTTAATTAAGATCTTGTTTAACTAATTGTTGTCAGTGCTATGCCAGTAAATATGACGATGTTTTGGAAATCTAGCCAAATCGTATATACAAACTTACTAAACATAATTGTCATAAAATTTATTAAGTAATTAATGTCGACGATAATTTAATATGAGGCACGACTGTCTCACTAGACAAATCACACATAAAAGAAAAAAACATTCCACAAATAGACTGTAATGAAATGCTCAATTACGCAATACGAGTCAGATTAAAGGTTATAACAAAGAAACCGATAAATATAATGGATAATAAACCTACACCCGATAACGTAAAAACTTTTCAAAAATAACGTTTAGTCCCGTCTGCTGTCTGGTCCGCGTGGTTTCTTTTTCTAGTATACTTTTCTATATTAACATTTAGCAGTTAAATGCTTAAAAACATTAAATCATAACGTTCATTTAAAGTTTAAACTTTTGCTTTTGCCTGTCATGGGATGGGTGACCAGAAGCCTTATAATTTTGAGCATATTCGTTAAGAAAGCACATTAGGGCCGTAACGGTCACCCACGTTCAACGATATTTAATATCGTTGCCCACGCTACGTTAACAGTCAATAACTCACCAATCCGTGGCGTGGCGTGGGTATCAGCCACAAAATTTTGCCGCCATCATATTTAGGTTTTTTTTATTATTTTATCGGTTTGCTCAGGATCCCTATCCAGTCCGAGAGCAGAGATTAGATCTACGATGTAGCGAGCTTACCCAGAAGGAGCTTTTTACCTTGAATTTAAAAAGAGTCACATTGTGTGCATTCGGAAACACTGACTGACGCGGGCAGACAATTCCACTCCCTCTCTGTACGCGCATAAGACGTTAGCGACGTTAAGCTTTATAAGACATTTGAGAAAGCAATTGTGGAAAGGCAAAAGACTGTACTCAAGAATACTAAGAATGTTTTTCCTTAATGACACTTATTCTGATCGGCTCAAGGTAGACTATAGCGTAACATCTCGATTTTTACTATACGACTTTTATTTACTGATATATACAACATTTAATAAAAGAAGAACGTATTTAAAAAAAATCAACCTTAAGCAGAGCAAAAGACTGTATAGCCTTTTTACTTACCGTGATTTGCCTAATGGTGGTCGAGCTACGATAAAAGAAACGCAAATGGATGTACAGGACTACGTTTGGTACACAGGTACTTGAGGTAAAAGCAATATTTTTGAGCGGTAGTTCTTAAAAATCGGCAATTTTTTGTATTATTTGAATTTTTTTTTCAAGAAACCTATTGTGTGTGGTAACAAATGAAAGGGATTCATGAGCCGCTTCTAAAAATATACTGCACTATACGACTTTCTTATTCATAAAAGAAAGGGTGGTATTCCCCGATTTCGTCACTTCACAATATAATTAACAAGAAAAACAGTTATGTCACAACTAAAGGTCCTCTGTGAATAAAGGTGAGTATAGTGAGCAAAACTAAAAAGATGGGCATATTATGCTGTCGCGGACTTTTTTATAGAAATTTTAAAGGGAATCAATTCCGCCATACTTTATTTTTGTGTAATTTAATCCGTTTATCCAGTGAACGCAACAGAATCTCACAAATGGAATATTTATACCCATTTTTCACTATCCAACACAAAAGTATTTTTTTCAAATCAGACCAGTATTTTCCTAATTTAGCGCGTTCAACAAAAATAACAAACCCTCCTGTTTTATGATATTAGTAATTTTGACTAATTTTCACGGAAGGTTTATAATTATATGAAGAAAGTCATAATACAGGCCTGAGAACAAAAACTATAGTCTACATTACAGCTTAACACCGAAGCGAAACGAGGGCGCGCCTCTAGTATAATAATAAAAGCTTACCAGCGTTAGCAGCGTTCTCTGCGGTCTTGGCGGCGCCAGTGATGATCTCGGCGGTCTTCTTGGCCTGTTCATCCAATGCTTCGGCTGCCTCGTGCGCTTTCTCCTCGGCCACCTGCTCGGCGTCCTTCTTCTTGCGCTCGAACAGCGACGCTGTCTTCTCTCCGATGCTCCGGAATGCACCTGGGTTAGGAAATATTTGAGAATGGAAAACGAAACAATGTTACATCATAGCACAAGGAGGAGGAGAAGCTCGATGGCGCAGGTGGTTAACGCGTTCGGCTGCGATCGTTGAAGTAAAGCAACTTTCGCAGTGGTCGGTCATTGGATGGGTGGCCAAAAATCTTCTATCTCGAGTTCCTCCATGCTTCGGAAGGCACGTTAAGCCGTTGGTCCCGGCTGCATCTGCAGTCGTTAGCAACCGCCTATCCGCACTGGGCCCGCGTGGTGGGTCATAGCCCAATCTCGCTATTCCATCCATAGGGAAGGCTTGTGCCCCAGCAGTGGGGACATTAATAGGCTGATGATGATGATGATACACAAATATCAAAATAAATAACGCCCGTTTACAATTGTATTATAAAGACCGACGATTTGGAAGCGACCAAAAGTATGGCTTTACGTTGAAACATTTTTTTGCTGCCCTAGACGTTCGTCCTCTATGTTATTCTGCCGTTAAACTGTTGTTAATGGGGGGTTTCTAACGCTATGTGTAACTTTATCTCTTTCGCTTTCCCCTTAGGTACCCTTGGTACATAGAAGTTATAACATATCTATAATAAATACTTATTCACTATTCTTGTAGAATTTCAATCATACAAAACTAATAATATCATATCAATGATCTAAGTAGCTACATCCGTAAAAGGATATTGTTTAGAACCGATTTTGTTTCGTAATCCAATGAAACTGATAATACCCCGAGCTGAGTCATTGAACGACAGCTAAGCCCCTGTCTATGTAGCTTTTTTGTCTTATGAAAAGAAGCAATATAATTATAGGTAGACCGTTTAACTGAGTCCTCGCCTGCGGGGTAAAGGGTGTGGGGTAAGACGAAAACGGGGATAGTAGGAGGTGCAGGCGGCAGGCACATTCGTGTCAAATGAAATTACAAATGCCCGCTGCTAGCACCTCTCACGATCCCCGTTTTCGTTCTACCCCACAGCCTTTACCCCGCAAGCGAGGACTTTTTTATTCCTATGTGTAAAATAATAAAAAAGACTATTAAAAGTCCGATTAATTTTGAGATAACAGATACACATTTAGCGGTGGTGGGTGCATCCAAATTGTTGCTGCTAACTAATGTTTAAGTCAGTCAAAAAATTTAAGTCTTTAAGACTTTAATTTTTCCCACCATAATTCATATACAGTCCCACGGCTACCTCACACGGAAGGAAAGTATATTAAATATTGAAGATAGGAATTTTACATTTTACTGAAAGAAGACATCATTTTATCTTTAATAATAACTAGAACTGCATTCACAGATTTTTTAAAAATCTTCTGCTACAACTGGGAATCAAACTCATGAAATTACGAAAAAAATAACTCTGCATATTTTATGATAACCATCGAAAGGGTTAATTATAAGGATTATTTTTTGCTAAATAACATAGCATTTTAAATGAAAGGAATGTGAATTACGTGATATAAATAAAAGCATTATAGTATGAAGATAAAAGTGTTTCAATCCGGAAATTTTGATGACAAAGATTCACGTCGCTTTGATTCGGATAAAAGATGTGCCATTTTTTTAAAAGTGGAGGAAGGTCGGCATATCATAGGTACGATGTAGCTGAAGAACTGGGATTTGACCACAAAACATTTTTGGCTCATTTGAAAAAAGCTGGTACACAAAAAAGCTAGATATTTGGGTGCCTCACGAGCTCACTAAAAGAAACCTAATGAACCGTATACTCATTTGTGATGCTTTATTACAACGTAATGAAACCGATAAATTTTTGAAGAAGCTGATAACCGTTGATGAAAAGTGGATCACGTAGGACAACAACGTGAGAAAAAGGTTGTGGTCAAAGGCCGGTCAGGCTTCACAGACTCTGGCGAAAGCGAAACCCGGGATAACTCGCAACAAGGTGATGCTGTGTGTATGGTGGAAGTGGAAGAGCATTATTCATTATGAGCTGTTACCGCCAGGCAGGACCATCGACTGTGAACTCTACCTACTACGAGCAACGGATGAGATTAAAGCAAGAAGTTGAGAGAAAGCGAGCGTGACCGGCAGTGTCAGGTTAACATCACGAGAGGACTGCCAAAACCACTTATCGCGGTTTTTTGATCAGAAGCCCCTAAATTTCTATAGCAATGAGATCATATCCCTACCTACAAGAGGGCAAAAAGATAACGAACAAAATGGCACTTATTTTATTTAAATGTAAATAAACTTTATTAAAAATGTTTTGATTTTTTATATAAAATGCGTATAAACTTTTTCCCTAACCTATAATTTCCTTAGTAAAAAGGTAAGTATGTATTTAAATCAATATTTGGCGAAACTACCTACAACCTACACTTGATACCGCTCACAAATATAATCAATTGGGATTTCTGGAGCATACAAAATATATTTTATAATTATTGTCCTTACTGTAGCTAGATGGTAAACACTGAAAAAGACAGTTCTATAATTTCAATCTGAGTGCATTATGGTCTTTTATGATTATCGCTCTTATTTATACGTAATAAAGTCGCTATCAATGTCTTCTCCTACATTCACCAGACGTGGATTTTCTGCAAGTACCTCAATAGGTAAAATAATAAATGTCCTTGTGGGAGAAATGGAAAATCAATATTTTCCATTAGTCCCACAGTCAAGCAAGGTGCCACTTCTGCTGTGACAGTCTATGGTATTTTGTTATTAGTAAATAAATTAACACTCACACCAATTATCCTAGCCCCAAAGTAAGCACTGTAAGGCTTGTCAAGGGATAGGATAACGGATAGAATACACATACTGTACGTACATGTATAAGTATATTTTATTTAGAAATACATAAATAAAACTAGTTTTTACGGGTTAATGCACGAAAACTTTATTTATTTATTGACGTTTCGTAGCCTTTACAGGCTACGTCGTCAGAAACGTCGTCAAAATTCTGACGACGTAGCCTGTAAAGTTTTATTTAATGAGTGATGTGCGTGAAAACCTAAGAAACAAATATTAGAAATACATGTTGAACATCCATTACTGGAGTACAAATGCTCGTATTCATCACACAAACATCTGCCCTCACCGGGATTCGAACCCGGGACCTCTCGAGACGGCGACACCATGAATCCCGGTGTACAAACCACTCGGCCACGGAGGTCGTCAAAATAATTAATATAATTGATGGGTAGCAAACAGCCTAGTCACCACTTGCTATTTTCACATAAAGGTCAAGACCACCTAGACCTACTTTTATGATTATCACTCTTATTCATACGTAATAAAGTCGCTATCAATGTCTTCTACATTCAACGGATGTGGGTTTTCTGCAAGTAGATATTGATTTTCCATTACTCCCACAATCAAGCAAGGTGCCATTTGTGCTGTGACAGTCTATGATATTATGTCATTCATAAATAAATAAATATTTACAACACTCACACCAATTAGACTAGCCCCAAAGTAAGCACTGTAAGGCTTGTGTTATGGGATACTAGGATAACGGATAGAAATCATAATATAAGTATATTTTGATTAGAAATACATATTGAACATCCATAACTGGAGTACAAATGCTCGTATTTATCACACAAACATCTGCCCCCACCGGGATTCGAATCCAGGACCTCTCGAGACGGCGACACTATGAAACCCGGTGTACAAACCACTCGGCCAGTACCACTTTTTGAGACTTTAGCGCCACCTACAATGCGCATTTTTTATTGTACGAGATTACAACAATAACATAAATTGTAGTACTCAACACCCTCTACAATTATGGTCTAAAAAAACGTTTCTAAAATGCATTAAAACAAGAAAAATGCGTTTCTAAATTTTTTTGAGGGTTTTTTGAGTTTTTCTAAAAACGCCTACGAGTTGAACATGCCCATCGTCAAGGTGGCTTACTGACGTCATTTGGCAACAGAAAAAACAAGACTTATCCTTTAGGTTTTTTTTTCACTGAAACGATTTTTTTTTCGACAGATTGACTGTACTAAAAATAATTTTTGAAAATCGGTCCTTAAATGACAGAGAAATCGCCTAACAATAAATATAAACTCGCGTAACAATATACAGACGAATTGAGAACCGCCTTTTTGAAGTCAGTTGAAAATATAGTTTTTTTTTAAATACTGAGAGTAAATTAGCAGCTAGCTGCAGTAGTGTTCTTTTTTCTTATCTAGTTAATGTGCTCTCAGTTTCCGTGCCAAATGTCCAATGTCTAGTGTTTCAAACTGAGAAATCCCGGAAACTGTTTTTTTACCCCAAAATGTTGCCAAATGGCACGCCCAGTTTGAGGAAACGCAATAAATAAATAAGGAAGACATTACTCTACCACTTACAAATCCAGTAGAGCTTTTCTTGATTACAATGTACTTTGACTAAATCAAAAGTTTCTTCGTTCTGAAGAATCTGATTTTCCATTCCTAACCCACTGACGTGATTTGATTGTACTGTACCCCAAGCACTAATAACAAGCGAGAAAGTATACGTATCGCCATCGAAGTTTCTATGGAAGGAGCTAAGTAGTTTCTTACGTCCACGTCCGGCAGGGGCGCTGCCTAGTTTCCATAGAAACTTTGACGATGGCGATACGAATCTTTATCGCTGGTTGTTCGTGCTTCGGGTGGGGTACTGAACCTATATCTTATTCATTTTTAATTTTAGGGTTCCGTACCCAAAGGGTATAATTGCAACCCTATTGCTGTAACTCTGTTGTCGTCTGTCTGTCTGTCTGTCCGTATGTCACGGGTTTCTAGATCGTAAACGGAATTAAGGAGTTACAGAACTGAAATTTTGGTATTTTATGTAGAATGCTTGCCAAAAGCCAATGATTTAGTTAAAAGTTCAATTTATAGTTATTTATGATATTAGTGCGGTAAGTTGGTTATTGTTATTACAAACAGGTACATGAATGTAAACCCGACACGAAGTCAAGGGCTTACCATAGTCACGAGTTTTAAATATCAATTCCACACGAATGTCATACAACGATTTTCAACAAATTTGTGAGAAA